CCAAATTCATTCAAGAATGAGCGTAGAAATTTGGCTACTGGATCAGCAGTCCGATGTCGCAGTTGTTCCAGGAAGCGATGGAAGTCAAATGGCTGTTCTGTTTCTGGCTCTGGTGGTGGAGGAACCGTTGACGCTGGCGTTGATGGGTTGTGGTGAGTATCAGGCTTTTCCACAGCTACCATTTTCCCTGCGCTGGTCAGGGATGGGGACTTAGGTGGTACAGCGGGAGGAGACATTGCTTGACAGCTGCTGCCGGTGCTTGTTAAATTTGATGCAGCTTGGGTATCTGCCGATTCATCGTTTTGTTTTACAGGCTGCTGTTCTAAACTTGAATTCCGAGGAGGGAAGTGTCCCTGGCCGGTCCGAAACTGGTCAGCTAACTCTAGTCTTGGAGACATGATCTCTTCCTGGCGGAGGCTGCTGGTCTCATCCGAAAATTGATCCATGATTGTCTGTATCTCCGACTGAGAATCTTCGCTCTTCCTCTCCTCACTCTCGGCTTTGGGTTGACAACTGTCGTCGAGTAAGTCATCCTGAGGAACTTCAGGTAGGTCCTTATCCGCTGGCGGTCGTGAAACCTGCGGAGTTTTAGGGGTGGGATCGATATAAGGCTCGTCTTTTTTAGGGGGGAGAGGCGGCTGGCCACCTGCTACGTCCACATGAAGCAGTTGGCCAGGATTCCTGCGCTTGGACTGAATAGACAGCTGCTGCTGTGGCTGTGACGAGGATTGTCCGTCATTTTCAGCGGGTGAAGAGGGTTCTTCATCTATATTCGAAGCTTCAACCGTGTCCTCCTTTTGTTGAGGGGAATCAGCCACACCTGCAACAGTCTCGTCAACCTTCGATTCAGCATTGCTGCTCACGTTCTTTGCAGTTGTATCATTTCGAGATTCCTCGCTTTCTCCTACTTGCACAGACGTCTCCCCAGCGACGTCTGAGGGGGGGACCTGGATTTCTGGAGGAGACATAAGCTCGACATGAGCTGTGCGAAGTAGTGTATATACGGCTGTCGAAACGTTGCTGGGGGGTGGGAGGCTGTTGAATCAGCCTACCGTGATCATCGTGGGGGAACTCGTATCGTATAATGTGTTCTGGTTGAAATGATGCCTCGCACACAAACACTGCCTCTCTAACACACACAAAACACTTGCTTCTTTATATATGGGCTGTCAAACCTCGATAAAATTAAGTACAAGCTAGGTGGTCAGGATGTCGATAGGTTCCAGAAAGGCCATGGCCCGCCCGATGAGGTCGGGCCAGAAAAAGTGGCGGATCATTGTTTTACCGAGGCTCCGATGCGGCCCCGGCGTTTCGGAGGTGCTAAAGGTCATTTCACTTCAACAACCTCAACAACACTCAACCTTGCCTTCGACATGATGTGAGAAGAGGAGATTTCGCGATGTGTGGCATTTTCTTCTCGCTGAGCAATGAGAAGCACTGTTATCCGAGCCAATTGACGGAGAAGCTTATCCAGCACAGAGGTCCAGACAGCTACCAGACAGTGTGTGTTCGTGTTAACCAGACGGCAGCCTACCTAACTTTCGCGTCTTCTGTACTTGGACTTCGAGGAGGCTCTATTCAGAAGCAGCCGCTGGTAGATGATAACCAATCGGTCCTCTGCTGGAATGGCGAGATATGGAAGTTTGCAGACCGCGCGCTAGATGGAAATGACACCTACGCTATTTTTCAGTCTTTCATGGATGCGGTGAAGCCTCGCAACGGTGAAGGAGCTGAGAATACATTAGAGAAACTATGTACTGCGGTTAACAACATCTCAGGCCCCTTTTCGTTTGTGTTTTATGACAGTTGCTCGTGCCGGATATTCTATGGAAGAGATTACCTTGGTCGACGGTCCTTGCTCCATGGGTGGAGTAGTGATGGGAACTTTCGAATATCCAGTATTCGGGATGGAAACATATCGGACTACTTTGAAGAAGTAGATACTACTCGAATTCATGTCATTGATCTGACTAGCCCGCCCGAACAGGAGAACACGGAAGCCAATGCTGGAACACCCACATGCCCGGTCAAGACTTTTGTTATCCCATGGTCCCCTGATCCGACGTTGAGTCTTGTGAGAATACTAATAACCAGCCCTTGTTTTTAAACCAGATGTAATGTACGATTCACAGCTAACACATTTAGAAACGGCCTATCCCTGCTATGGATACATCTCTCCCGGAGAGGGGCTCTGCGTCTCCCCTAGCCATTGACTCCCTATGTATAGAAATTCTACAAGAAAAACTACTGGAGTCGCTTAGACTACGATTATTGACGGTACCGGACATTTTAACCTCAACGGAAACTAAAGTTGCCATCCTTTTCTCTGGTGGCCTCGATTGCACCTTGGTTGCGAGACTAGCACATGATGTATTGCCTATGAAAGCGCCAATAGACCTTCTTAATGTGGCGTTTGAGAATCCGCGGGTAGTGGCCGCAGCTACCAAAGGCTCGATCTCTGGAACTTCATCAACTTCCGTGTATGATGATTGCCCCGATCGCAGGACTGGCCTATCGTCGTTTCAGGAATTAAAAAAGGTCTGTCCTGGCCGGGAATGGCGGTTCGTCCGCATTGATGTTCCGTATACCGAAACCATGGAACATCGACCACGGGTCAAACATTTGATGGCACCACACAATACAGAGATGGACCTCTCCATTGCCTGTGCTCTCTACTTTGCTTCAAGAGGCAAAGGTATGCACCACTCCGAGTATAGCAACGGGGAAACAGGAATCAACTATACCACACCTGCTCGTGTCCTTTTATCGGGTTTAGGCGCAGATGAAGTGTTTGCTGGATACAGTCGTCATGCCATCGCTTTCTCACGACATGGGTTTCGTGGCCTAATAGACGAGGTCCAGCTTGACGTTGGCAGGTTAGGCAAGCGGAACCTAGGCCGTGATGATCGCGTAATATCTCATTGGGGCAAAGAAGCACGATATCCATATTTGGATGAAGACTTTTTGACATGGGCACTTTCTCGGCCTATATGGGAGAAATGCGGATTTGGGTGCGAGAAAGTTAAGATAGAGCAAGAGCCAGACGTGGAAGATGGCAAGAAAGCCTTGCGTCTAGTTGCGTGGAAACTAGGCATGAAGGATGTAGCCATGGAGAAGAAGAGAGCAATACAGTTTGGATCTCGGACAGCAAAAATGGAGAGTGGAAGAAGCAGAGGTACACAAATCCTTGAGTGATCAGCACATTTCCGCCCAAGCCCCATTTCCCTCATCCCAACGTATATATCTATCCCCGTCAGTCCCGTGGCAGCCATGATGACACGACAGATACTTCTGAATTCTTCTCCATCTAATCACGTCTTGGCTCAACATCATGCTCTTTCCGCTCATTTTACCGTTTGGCCTTCTTTAAAAACGCTCCTTTCATTCTTTCTGCTAAACAATAAATCTTCTTATTCAAATCCAGCATGGTGCTCATGACACTCCCTATTCCGGTAGAGCGAGGGCGTGGGCACCTTGTGGGTCAGGATAGGGGATGTGCAGCAGTTTTTCTGGTTGGATGCGCTCGAAGAATAAATAGTGCGAACGGAGAAAGGATGTGCTGAGTTGGACAGAAGACGGAGTGAGAGCTGAAGAAATTAAGGCAAGTCTGAGCTGCATGCAGAAACGCCCCTGTTAACCAGTACTCTTCTGTTGGTGTGTTCTACATATCCTTGGCCAATATTCTGTTGCGAGTGATTCCACCGATTCCTTACTTGCTGAAATACGCCTATGAATGAATGAATCTGCACTATGGTACCAGGCATAATCTAGGTCTGCGCACCGTTTTTCAACTTATTTATACCAGAACCAAATATTCACGTCAAGGAACATGTTCGGTTCAACCACATTCATACTCCTAAGACGACACCTTTATCCATTAGTTAATAGCGTAGATCGTCTACCTAATTTACAAGATACTTGGAGTCCCTCTACAGTTTGGACTTACCCCGTTGCTACATATACCAAGCTGCAGAGGGACGTATGGAGTACGTTGTGTCAAGACAAGGAGAGCTGTAGTTCATATTTTTCAATGCAGCAATGCAGACGGCATACATGAGCGTGAAATCGTCTACAGTGCCGAACGCGGTAAGAGAAATACACCAACGAAACGCATATTTGAAGACTTGCGTTCGATTTCACTGTGTATACATTCACCGAGCTAGAGCTGAGCATGACAGGTTCATCTCCAGAGGATTGGGTCAACTGCAATATTGCAGACAGGGCGCAGTATTTACAGACATAGCCTTACACATATAGAGTGCGTCATTTGGAATTGTCAAGAATGAATAGCAACTGAATTAGATTTTTTTTTTTTGGTTAAGAATACTATCCTATTCAGAAAAAGCACATTGGTTAAGAATAAATCTAGACCACTACCAGCCCCGAAGGCGAGGGTCGATAAACGCATCGACAGAACAACACGTGTGAAGGACAAGTAGACATCAGCGTAGGAATGGAAAAGAACCATGGATTAGAGGGCTGGTGTCCATCGGAAGAGAAAGAGAAATAGAAAAGCCACGAGTCAATCCTAGCGCAAAACATACCAACACGGGCTGGGCTGAGAAGCAAAAAGAGGAGACATCAGACGGCAGGGAAAGAGAAAGCTGAGAGCAGAATGGAGTACATCAGTGACGGTGAGCAGTGAGAGGGATGTAAAAGCCTGAACATAGAACAAGAGGAACAGATAACGATGAAACTGAAACTTTTCTCCAACGCCGTCTGGGCGGAGGGAGTTGGTTACCCGACGAGTCTCTGATAATGAATGCTTTTTTTTTTTTTTTTTTTTCAGACTGTAGTAGATTCGGAGACTCGCCGGGTAACCGATCATAAGTAGGAGAACAGACAACACTACACAACATGTGTAATTGTTGGGTCGGCCCGTGGGCCTCCGCAAACAACGCCTTTGTTCTTGACGAGACTCTGATGCGGAGGCCCATCGGGTAACAGAGTGTTGAGAATAAAGTCACTGACTTGGACGAGTAAAAGTCACATTCTCAGGATTAGCTTCCGGTGTGCCCAGCAACACCTTTCCAGTGCTCGGCCTCTTGTTTGGCTTGCTCCAGTTCGGCTTCAAGCTCTTCAATACGACGCTCAAGTGACTCCTGGAGTTCCACCTTCCGCTGGCGAGATTTTCTGGCTGCCTCGGTGTTCTTAGCTCGCTTGACTGCGACAGGATCGGAAGGATCAACCTCAATTGGTGGCAAAGGGTGCTTTTCACGAGTTCGCTTAGTGACCCCGGACACCGATGAAGGGCGGCTGGATGACGAGCGAGAACTCAAGCGAGGTGATGGCGTTGGAAAAGAGCGAGATTTAACAGCAGGTGAAGACGAAGCAGTGGTAGAAATCCTTTCTTGCTGGACAGTTCGATGAGCCGGTGGCTGAGTCAGAACAGGCGCCGAAAGCTTTGGGGTTTCATCGAGAGTGGTCAGCGGGTCTCCGGGGAAGAGCGACTCCCAGCCATCATGGTCAGCAGAGAGATCGTCCGCAGTGCTGAAGAGTGGCGAGGTGTCGTGGCTGAAGGTGCCGGGGGACTCGAAGGATGGAGTGCTGAGATCGGTCATGCAGGTGGAAGGCGGGCACGAAGAGTCCAAGAGAAGTTCTTGGGGAGAAACAGTCAGGGGAGGAGCGTCTGCAAGGGCAAGTGGCTGGCTGCCGTTCAAGGCCAACGAGTCACTGCCCTGCATTTCGTAGGTATCGGACAAGTCAAAATAGTCTATAGTAGTAGCGAGAGAGGGATTAGTGTTGGTCAAAATCGAAGAAGTAGCGACCGACGTACCCTCCATTGCGGCGTTCTTGATCTGATCTTGCAAATGGACTGGAGTTTTCTTTCCCAAATCCGCGAACAAGGGTACAGGAGGACGCAAGCTTTGGCTGGCTAGGCGAGATGAAGAAGTGTTTACACTAGGCGAGTAGAAGACCGGTTGCGGGGCTGAGATACAGGTACGACTGCTGCTGGTAGGCAAAGCAGAGGCTGCAGAACCAGATCTAGGGGTATTCTGGATACTCTGACGCGAAACCAGACGAGAGCTCTTGGGAGCTGACCAGCTGCTGGGTTGTGCTGCAAGCGGCTGAGGAGTCGGGAAGAGCTGAAAGTCTTGCTGCAGGGAGGCAGGGAGACTGTTGTAACTGTATTGCGGTTGCTGTGGACGATTGTTTGTAGCCAAAGGCTGTCTGGACTGTGGTTGGGAAAGCCATGATGGGCGTTGGTTATCCGTGGTGAACGACGTAAAGTCGAACTGGGGAATGGTGGTGGAGGAAGAGAACGCGGGGTTTGCACGAGACAAATCAGAAGATGCGTTCAGAGGTCCGGAAGGAGGCTCTGAAGGGGGTGAAGAAGTTGATGGTGAAGTGGTATAATCGTGGGAATCCAACGTGGTTGTTGTCTCTTGGTGGGAGAGACCGAGCGAGCTGGAGCCTGCGTCTAGAAGGCCATCTTGTAGCCTTGAGAAGAGAAAGTCGAAGTCAGGGAATGCTTGTATGGTTGCGTCTGGCGTTTGTCTGAGGCCTCGATGCCGGGTATCTCGCCGTCTATCTTCTTTTTCTGTGTTTATGTGTATGTTTTTTTTTTTGTGTGCGTGAAGAGGATGAAGATGAGAGAAAGGGAAAAAAAGACGAAGCAAAAGACGACGACGAAGCGAGTTTTTAAATAAAAAAAAAAAAGGGCGCGCGAGTGGCAGTAAAATCCCACCGCCTTCCCGATCGAGCGACCCGACTCTGCGCTAAACCGAGAGCGGCAGAAAGTGGGGCTGCAGCTATGAGTCACTGCACTTCCGCACTCTGATTGGTCAATGGCAACCTTAACCACTCTGTCTTAGTCATCAGAAAGGACGACCGCGCGGGACGAGGAAAAGTCGCAGCGAGACGCGGGAAGATGGAGGAGACAGCAGAGGCGCCAGCGAGGACGACGAGGCCAGCAGCAGCGCGAGGGAGAGGGTGGAAGGCGGCCGTGGGCGGTGGTGGGCGCAGCTGAAACCGATAGTTCGCTTCTGGCGTGGATGCGAACCCTTGCAGAAGAAACGAGATGCGGCTCAACGCCGCCTCAGCCTGCGCACTCCAGCGCTGGAACACGAAGCCAGGCAGCCATCCTTCGCCGCTTTTGCCGGATCACTCGGCCTGTCGCTGCCAATCCCCCCTCTTGTTTAGCTTGCAGCCTCGAGACAGACGCTTGTCTCTCTCCTTTCCGCTGAATATCTTTTGCTCACCCCATTCTCCGTCCATGTTTTACTTGCTTGCGTTTTCTCTCTGGCGTTTCTCTCTTCCACGGTGTGGTCACTGCGCTGCTAGGTAAGGTACCTATTTCCTTTTTCGGAAGAACGCGGAGATGCGGCCATGTGACGGACGCCAAGCTTCCCAAGGTTATCTCGGGCCGTATGCTGACTAAGAGGAACATCAGGTCCGACGGAATCTTTCATTCCTCAGACGACGCCCCAACGCGTCCTCTGTATGCTTAATCGTAAGCGGATGTTGCAGAAATAAAGGTTATATATTATTAATTAACAGTCCCTTAATGCTTCGTTTTACGAGTTAACTATAAATAACATCTCGTTTTGCGAGTGATCTCCAGGCCGTTCCCGCGGTCCTATCGACATTTTGTACTCCGTATCAATCTATTCTTAAGATTAGTATGTTGGAACGGTGAATGGTTGCATGTGCTACTCCGTATAGAGAATGATGGCGTCTTTGACAATTGGGTGTATCCTTATATCCATGCCAGCAGCAGTTACTTCGAAGTATATAGAATGCAAGAAGCGATATACTGCTTTCTCTTTGATCAGTGTTATGGTGCATGTCGAGACAGACTTGCAGATAATTAAGACCTCGCACACACGGCAAGCAAATATGGCAGTGAAGGAATGCAAACAGCCAACTTTCTGCCACCTAGATGCTTACCATTTTTAGTGCAGACTCCATCCTTTTGGCCATATATGGCTGACTTTGTCCTTCCAGTAGTCCTCTTTGTCGAACGAAGCGAAGTTGTGGGGAAGAGCATGCCAAGGCCTTATCACGAGCCCCTTGATGACTAAGCTTTCCCTATTACATAAGGCGGAGCCTGATCCTCCGTCTTTGCGGCCTTTTGTTGATAAGATCAAGATAAGATCGCGCGCTTTCTGGAGCTTCGTTGCGGAGAGAGGCCGCGCTTATCCCAGTCGACCCCTCACAACATCCACAGCAACACTTCTACAACGCATCTATACGCCCTTAATAGATGCTAACACTGCTCAACCATAGTTGCAACGGGGTCTGGCGGCCGTCTGGGAGGTAGTACCCAGTAGAATGATACCCGTTCTCCACCTACTGCGAGACACGCGACCATGAACAACCTCACCTCCCTGCGGAGAGCTGTGGTCAGCTTCGGGCAGCATGCTCGTTTCTTCTCCTGCTCGTCCCAGTACTACCAGCAGCAGCAACAGCAAAGTGACAGCAAGATCAAAACGGTCCCGTACTCCTCCCTCACCATCGGCGTGCCTCTCGAGTCATACCCGTCAGAACGCCGTGTCTCTCTCACCCCGGCTAATGCCGCCCTCTTGCTGAAGAAAGGGTTCGGGCAGGTGCTGGTCGAGCGTGGGGCTGGTGCAGCATCCCAGTTCACGGATAAGGCATATATAGATGCCGGGGCTAGCTTGGTGGACCGCCATGACGTTTGGGAAAGCGACATCGTGCTCAAGGTGCGAGCTCCCAGCCTCAATCGTGGCGAGGTAGGCTTGCTTAAGGATGGTGCTACGGCCATATCTTTCCTCTATCCGGCACTTAACAGAGACCTGGTTGAAGCCCTGGCCAAGGGAGGCGTCACCGCCTTCGCCATGGATATGGTTCCTAGGATATCCCGTGCCCAGGTCTTTGATGCTCTCAGGTGAACTACCTAGCACTCCACCAGCACAGAGACAAAAAGGAAAACTAACGGCCAGTAGTTCAATGGCAAACATAGCAGGATACAAGGCAATACTAGAAGCCTCTAACCATTTTGGGAGATTCCTACCCGGTCAGGTTACTGCTGCAGGGTGAGTATGCTCTTACGCTTACCCGCATTCATATACAATACTAACATCCAATAGCAAGGTCCGTTTTGCTGTTCACTCCAATTATTGCCATAATTAATGCAGTGTAGATTCCACCCGGAAAGGTACTCGTTATCGGTGCTGGTGTTGCTGGCCTCAGCGCAATCTCGGCAGTAAGCCACGGTCACTCTTATATAAAGCATCATGATTTATACTAAAAAAAATCAAGGCACGTCGTATGGGTGCCATAGTCCGCGGTTTTGATACCCGTCCCGCCGTTCGTGAACAAGTTCAATCCCTCGGAGCCGAATTCATCGAGGTAGACATCCAAGAAGACGGTTCCGGCGCCGGTGGCTACGCAAAGGAAATGTCCAAGGAATTCATCGAAGCTGAAATGAAGCTCTTCCTCCAACAAAGCCGTGAAGTGGACATCATCGTTACCACAGCCTTGATTCCTGGAAAACCAGCTCCAAAACTTATCACTGAAGAAATGATCATGGCCATGAAGCCTGGCTCTGTCGTGGTAGACCTCGCGGCAGAGGCTGGAGGGAACTGTGTCCTGACTAAACCTGGGGAGCTGGTATTAAGCTCCAATGGCGTTACTATCATAGGATACACTGATCTTCCATCCCGTCTACCCACGCAATCGTCTACGCTGTACTCAAACAATATCACTAAGTTCCTGCTTTCAATGGCCCCCGTTGAGAAACAGTTCGGTGTTGACCTTGAAGATGAAGTCGTCCGTGGCTCCATTGTCACCCATGCTGGTTCTATTTTGCCCCCTGCTCCCAGGCCCGCCCCGCCTCCACAGCCAGCAACTCCCAAGAAAGACGACGCAGCTCTTTCCGCCGACGCGGCTAAGATGGAACTTACCCCATTCCAAAAGGTCTCAAGAGAAGTAGCTACTGTTACTGGTGGCATGGGCACAGCTCTCGCCTTAGGAAAATTCACTGGTCCACTGTTCATGAGTAATGTCTTCACAGCGGGCTTGGCTGGCTTAATTGGATATCGAGTTGTATGGGGCGTCACTCCTGCCTTGCATTCTCCTTTGATGAGTGTAACCAACGCTATTTCAGGTACTGTAACTCTCCGTTGTCTAATACCGACTATCTACTTACTCGCATGTAGGAATGGTGGGAATTGGTGGCCTATTCGTCATGGGTGGAGGGTATTTCCCCGAAACCATACCCCAGGCCCTAGGTGCATTGTCTGTGCTCCTTGCCTTCGTCAACGTATCAGGCGGCTTTGTCATAACTAAACGCATGCTGGACATGTTCAAGAGTGAGCTCTAGTTACCCAGAGGTATTGCTTGGCACCGCACACTAATAACTACTATGTAAGGGCCTACTGATCCACCTGAGTATCCATGGCTCTACGCTATTCCTGGCGTCCTATTCGGAGGCGGGTACCTTGCAGCTGTGAGCACCGGTATGGCGGGTCTAATTCAAGCCGGATACCTCGTCAGCAGTATTCTATGCATAAGTATGTACTATATTCTGTGGTATTTGTGTGACCTGCAACTACTAACAATGTAGGTTCTATTTCGGGTCTTGCATCTCAGGCCACTGCTCGTGCAGGAAACTCTCTTGGTATCTTGGGCGTTGCTTCTGGTATTCTCGCCTCTTTGGTTGCTGTAGGCTTCTCTCCTGAAGTCCTTGCCCAATTTGTCGGACTAGCTGGTATCGGAGGTTTGGTTGGTTAGTTCTACCGTTATCGTGTTCCGTTGTTCTATTCGCCGATGATAACATAATATAGGAGCCGCGATCGGCCGTCGTATTACTCCCACCGAGCTCCCTCAGATGGTAGCGGCACTGCATTCTGTTGTTGGGCTCGCGGCCGTCCTCACTAGTATTGGAAGTGTCCTCGCTGATATCGACCATGTTTCAACCCTACATCTTGTTACAGCATACTCTGGCGTAGTCATAGGTAAGCCTTCGCAAATCGTATACTAAAACAGGGAATGTTAAACTCACTGAATAAACAGGCGGGATCACCTTCACCGGCTCCATCGTGGCGTTCCTCAAGTTATCAGGGAAAATGGCATCTAAACCACTTGCATTCAAAGGTCGACATATTGTAAACTCCTCTTTACTGGGGACCAACATGGCGCTCATGGGTGGATTTATATCAATGGCTCCGGGCGCTCCCCTAGTAGCTGCTGCAGCTTTATCAGCGAGTACCATCCTCAGTTTCATAAAGGGGTTCACGACAACCGCTGCTATAGGGGGTGCTGACATGCGTATGTTTACCTTGATCCTTTAATCCTGGTGAAGACCTGCTAAATGACATCTATAGCTGTTGTGATAACGGTTTTAAACGCTTATTCTGGCTTTGCGCTTGTTGCCGAAGGCTTTATGCTTGACAATCCACTTCTTACGACAGTGGGATCGCTTATCGGCATCAGCGGTTCCATTCTATCATATATTATGGTTAGTCCACGGCTAGCGATGTTTTGAACTAGTTCTTGAAATAGTGCCAGGCTAACTGTCTAAAGTGTGTCGCGATGAACCGTTCTCTAACCAATGTCCTATTCGGCGGAATATCATCACCAACCCAGGCACAATCGGATCACCAAATTGAAGGAAAGATTACGAAGACTTCTATTGAAGAAACGGCAGAGACTCTTGCGAGTGCCGAAAGTGTTATTATAGTACGTTACTCTAGTCTTGATCTGTTGAATCAACTGTTAACCTATGTCCCTAGGTCGTTGGATACGGCATGGCAGTCGCAAAAGCCCAATATGCCATATCAGAAATCACCCGTATGCTTCGTGCAAAAGGAGTCAAAGTTCGATTCGCTATCCATCCCGTCGCCGGCCGCATGCCTGGGCAATGCAATGTCCTGCTTGCTGAAGCTGCTGTTCCATATGATAGTAGGTTCTCCTTTTCATCGGTGCCTGCATTGCACAAAGCTAATAAAGGAAATTAGTCGTCCTTGAAATGGATGAAATCAACGATGACTTCGGTGATACGGACGTGACTCTCGTCATCGGTGCGAACGACACGGTTAACCCCATTGCCCTGGAGCCCAATTCCTCTATTGCGGGAATGCCTGTTTTGCACGCCTGGAAGAGCAAGGAGGTCATTGTTATGAAGCGTGGAATGTCAAGCGGATACGGTAAGTTATTAAACTCCTCCCTAACCAAAAGGGACCCGTTTAAACTAACATATCCGATAGCTGATGTGCCTAACCCCATGTTCTATATGCCTGGTACCAAGATGC